TAGAGCTCGTGTCGTCTGTCACCTCTGCTCGCCTCGACAGGTGTTTACCGATTCCCAACCTACTCTGCGCAAAGCGCTGGACCCAGAGGACCCGGTGCCGGAGATGCAGAGACGATGGCGCCCGTCTGCAAGGACTTTATCAAGAAGCTGTGGAAATAGGAATGTACACATGAGAAGGAACTTAACTGGTGACATCCGACCCTGCATTCCTGGGCACAGAATGAAGGGTCACTGAGTCCTTCAGGGTCAGAGAAGAAGTGCTCACTTTGTGGGGTGGTCAGGAAAAGCAGGGCTTGGACTTGAGCTGGACCGTGAGGGCTGGAGGAGCGCGGAAGGGAGTGGGAGCTTTTCCGGAGAGTGGGCTGACGGGACGCGCCGAAGGCGTGGAAGGAGCGGAGCCTGAGAAGGCGGGTCCGGCTGGAGAGGAAGATTATGCTGGGGACCGGCAGGAAGGCCGCAGAGGACAGCCTGGCCCTGTTTTGATGGCCTGATGGCTTGATTCCTGGAACACGTTCTTTCTGCTTCTGACCCAGGGCTTGACCCTACGGCCAGCCCGGTGCTCTCCGGGCCGATGCTTTTGGTGAGAACATGTTCTCACAGCTTTCCCTCCAGCCTGGAGGTGAAGAATACTCTACCCTTAAGTGCAAGCGTACAGAGAGAAGAAACTTGGGGTTCCCGGAGCCGCAGGACTTGAAGAGTGGGCCGTCGTCTCTGTAGTGGCCTCGGGCGCCCTGAATTGAGTCCCAGTAAGATTCGGTGGGAGAAGCCTTCCAGCTGGCGTCGAGCACGGAGAAAGGTCCTGCTGCGCTTGCACGAGGGGGTTGGAGTACACGTCCCCCTTTCCCATCTTCTCCCCTCAGGAGGCCCCGTGGCTCTTGCAGGCTGTCACCTCGACATTAGAGCCGCGTTCCCTGTACCTTTCCCTGTTCTTCAGGGCTCCCTGTGAGCCTCCACATCCACACCGCCCACCGCTGCAGACGGCCCTTCCTGAAGCTCACACACTCGTTCACGGCCTTCCCGCTCCTCGCTGCCGCCAGGACTAAATGCCAGATCCTCTCCCGAGCATTCAGCCTCCCGAGCCACATGGCAGAGAGCAGCTTCCCCAGCCTGTCATCCACTTCTCCTGTGGCCTTCGCTTCTGCCAAACCAGATGCCTGCTCTTCCTTCCTCTGAGCCGCTGTCCAGCCTCATCCTGAACAGCTCCAGGATGCTGTTCCAGAAGCCTTCAGAGCCCCTCTCAGCGCCGACCTCAGGAAGCCACACCACATGCCCTCCCACCAGACACAGGCGTTCCCTTGCTTACCTGTCCCTGGTCACCATCCACTCTTTTTACCGGGTTTATTCTCTGTTTGCACCATAGTCCTTGAATACTCTCTTGTTTCCTTCCACTGGAGAGAGAGCCCCTCAAGGGCAGGGAATGCACCCCACACGCTGGGAGGAGCCCTTTCTGGTTGCACAGTGAATGTTTGTGACCTAAAACAAGGAGACAGGAGAGGTGGTCCCAGGGCTGTCTGTGTTGCCACGCACGTTGGGTCTTTTGAATCCCTTGCTGACGCCGTGAAGATTTCCACACCAGCTCCTGGTGCCGTTCTGACTTGTACCACGCAGAGACATGTCCTGGCTTCCTGGCAGGCTTGTCTGGGCAGGCGTGGGGGTGCACTGCTGCTTTCACTGGGCTTCGGTGTATCCCCACAGCCTCGACTCTACAAGAGCAAGGAGACCAGGTTCTGGATCTTCATGGAATTTAGAAAACGGAGTGATTTTTGTCAAGGGCATTTAAAATCCAAGCTACAAACAAGTCACTCTTGGTTTTCAGAGTATATTCACAAATTCTTTAGGCAGGTTGAAGTCTCCAATGTAGTATTTTAGGATTAAAAAAGTTTACTGCTGCATTGGCCGGGAATCGAACCCGGGCCTCCCGCGTGGCAGGCGAGAATTCTACCACTGAACCACCAATGCTCCAGCTGTCAGCAGCTGTGTGGACACCTCCGTTTAACCCTGTTCCTGGGCCTCCTTTTGTGTGTGTGTGTGTGTGTGTGTGTGTGTGTGTGTGTGTGTGTGTGTTTGTGTGTGTGTGTGTGTATGCATGCATGCATGCTGGCTCACAGAATATAAACCCGGTCCCCGATGCTGCCACATCAGCACAGCTGCAAGGACAGCAAGCTTAGACTGCAGAGCAGGAGGGTGTGCATGTGCGGTTGGTTTGCCTTCAGACCTCTGGACAGAAATGAGAGCTTAAGTCTTTGGCAGAAAGAAAAGCATGTTGGGACTTTCTCCTCTCTCGTATTTGAATCCTTCCTTTCCATTCTGCTTGGGCTGTTTCACTGTTCTCAGGTTTCCCTCCAGCTTCCTGCTGGAGACTGGCCAAGGCCAAGGGCAGCACAGCAGAAGTCCCCTAGGTTGAAGGCATCAAGGCCATGGTTCCACTGCCAGTAGTGAGTGCTTCTCTGGAGAACCCTGCCACTCCTCCCATGCTTAACCAGCAGGAAGTGTGGTGCCAGATTCGTGGGCACCTGGGCTGTGCAGGCCTGCTGTGCTTGAGGAGATGGGCTCCTCCAACGGAAACTCTGGGAGGAAACTGGCCAGGAAAGGGCAATAAAAGCAACACTGCATTGCATTGGCCGGGAATCGAACCCGGGCCTCCCGCGTGGCAGGCGAGAATTCTACCACTGAACCACCAATGCTTCAGCTGTTCTCTGTGGCACCTGCCGGGCTTTTCCCAAGGGACTGTCTCTCTCTATCAATACTCAGAGACAGGCACTCTGGCAGGTCACACCCAGCATCACCTGGCTGGTTTGCCCAGTTTGGGAGACCAGACAGGTTTGTATGGAACCATCCCTGCCAGGCCTTGAAACTCTACTTTGGGAGCCGGAGCCTATGAACTGGCTCCATAGTCCTCAGCCCCATAAAGACCAGAGCAAGAGGCACCTCATAGGCCCTTTGTACAGCCGCCTCCTGAAATACCCATCTCTGTTCCAACGTCCACCAGCCAGGAGCCAGGCCTGTTTTGTCACCTCTTGTGTGAACTGCCTGGCACACAATAGGTGCTCCATATGATTTGCTGTGTTAAGTCTTTATCAAACCATTGCCAACGCCTCTTTGAACAACCTTTGTGTAGGTGCGGTCACTGTCTCTTAGGACAGCACGTTTGGTTTTGAGCAGCTCTAATTACTACCGGAAGTTCCTGACACTGAGCTGGAACCCCATAGACTAATTAATACCTTTGGACATGACCATTCTTAAAATTCTTCAAGCCAACTTGAGATCCCATTTATGCAACAGGCAAGCAATGTACCCGCCACGATTGGACACAAGGCGAGGAGAGTGTGAGTCTCTGTAGCTACTTCTGAAAGTCCACGGTCTCTAGACCTCCTCTTCCCACCTTCAGTGGCTGCACCCCACACACATCTGCAGGCTCCTGTTACGTGATGTGAAATCCATTCTCCTAGCTGGAGATGCCCCAGCTACCAGAGCCCGCCCATCCTCGACGTTTCCCGCTGCTGTTCTGTCCCCTGGGGTCCCAGGCAAGGTTGGCCAGTTCCCTGTCCTTGCCTTTGCTCACACGGTTCCTTTTGTCCGGAAGGCCCTTTTCCTTCTCTCCCTGCGTCCTGCAGGATCCGGCTCCCATCCCACGCCTCGGCAGCCTTCCCTGACCACCATAGCCGCAGCTCCCCCAGCAGTGATCCGGGGCGCTCATGCTGCCATCGTCCCACATGGGGCCTCTCGCCACAGGGATGCTGTGAGCTTCCGGAGAGCAGAGGCTCGGCCTCCGTGTCCATGGGGCTCTGAAAACAGACCAGTCTGTACAGAACCAGGCCTCCCTCGGTTCTTCTCCGCTCAGGGCAGGGCCTTCCTGGGGAAGCGTCCCCCCTACGCCTGAGGTGAGCCCAGGCACTCCCTCCCACAAAGGCAGCCTCCCTCCGACCTGCCCCTCTCCCTGTTAGCGTCACTGCCCAGGGAGACACTTTGGAGGTGCCGTCTACCCACCTACCCCTGTATTACATGAGCTACTGATGCTTTTCTGTTTAATTCTAGAAATAATCCTTCTTGCTCTTTCCCGCCACCTCAGCCACATTTCAGGTCCTCCTTACCCAGTAGCTGCAGTGTTCTGCTGGAAGGTTTGTCCTCAGCGTCAGTTCTTTCTGTCAAACCCATCCCTGCCCCCGCTGCAGCCCCAGCTCGGCTTCTCCAAGTTGCCGCCAGAGGTATCTGGTAAAGCACGGGTCTGGGCGTGTCGTCGCCCCTTGCTGGAGAACTCGCACTGGTTCATCTTTTCCTTAACTGTCTCTAGCTGTTCCTGCCACACGCTAGACACCTGGTGCTGCCCTCAATATGCCACGTCTTCTCGGCACTCTTTGCCTTTGACCAGGCTCTTCCCTGTGCCCAAGACACCCTGCCTTCCTTTCTTTACCTAGAAAATGCCTGGAATGTTTTTAAGATCTGACTCAACTGGCATCTCTCTGCCAGCCCTCCGGGACGGCCCTGGAGACCTGGCCTGTTGTGTTTTCTTGCTTCTGTGATAACACTTGTGCCACTTTGCTGCAATTACTTGTGTGTATGTGGATCTAGCCCATCGGACTGCGGCCTGGTCCAGCTGTGTGTCCCCAGCACCGTCCCTGGAAATAATGGCCCAGATGCAGAGAACTTCTCGGATGCATGAATGCAAAGTTGAGCGAATGTTGAATAAAGATGGTTGATCAACTGACAATGCACTGTATTTTTTGGTCTCCAATGGGACATTTATTTGCCTTCTGTCAGATTCCCGGAAGTGAGTTAGCGCCACTGTTCCAAACACAACTGTTCCTTTGTTGTGCACAAAGGGAAACTGAGAGCCAGAGTAGGGAAGCACCCGTGGCCCAGCCAGCAGCAGAACTGGGAAGACCTGCCTGAGATGCCTGACTCCTGGTTCCTCTTTCTAAACAGGTCACCTCCCTCCTTCCTCCAGGAGCCAACAGCAGGGGTGGCCTGGTCCCCACAGCCCCTCTCTCCTCTCTCTTCAGGCTGGTCCGGGAGTTCGTGGCCCAGAACAATACCGTGCAAATCAAGCATGTGATCCAGACCCTGTCTCAGGAGTTCGCCCTGTCTCAGCACCCCCACAGCCGGAAAGGGGGCCTCATCGGCCTGGCCGCCTGCTCCATCGCACTGGGCAAGGTGGGCCTTTCTCCCCAGGGACGGACACACCAGCCATGGCCTTGACTCTGAGCCTTCCAGACGCCTTCCCTCCCAAGTCCCAGCAGGGCATTGCAGACCTGCGTTTTATCACCGCTCTTTCCACACCTAAGACCAGCCGGTCTGGCTTTGCAGCCCCGTCTCCAGGCGTGGTCCCTCTCCTGGGAGGCAGGCTTGGGAAGGGCTCACACAGGCCTGAGCATCTCCCAGGGATCCCTTCTGAGCTGTGTTCTCCCCCTCCTGCCCCATCGCAGGACTCAGGGCTCTACCTGAAGGAGCTGATCGAGCCGGTGCTGACCTGCTTCAATGACGCGGACAGCAGGCTGCGCTACTACGCCTGCGAGGCGCTCTACAACATCGTCAAGGTGGCCCGCGGCGCCGTGCTGCCCCACTTCAACGTGCTCTTTGACGGGCTGAGCAAGGTACTGCTCCTCCCAGCTGGGCCCAGCTCAGTCCACGCACCTCACTCGACCTCCTGGGACCTTGGGTGCTTGGGTCCCTTTCCCCAGATGCAGGCAGAGCAGATAAGCATGGCTGCAAGGGACACTTATTGTCTGTTGAATCTAATAATTTTTTTAAATGGGGTTATATTTGCATTTGTTTCATTTCTCTGTTAATTCATTTTTATTGCATTTTATGAAAGTATCAGTCTACCACACAGTGGAGGGAAAAAACTGATAGTTTGAGGAACACTCACCTCCCTGGGGAGGGGATGAAAGTGAGTCCATCGTACAGACGGTGTTTCCCCTGTGAGGAGGGCGGTGATTTGTAGCACACACATGCTCTAGAAAAAGCTCTTCTTAACAGGGCTTTGGAGCCCCTAATACTGTCTTCCGCACCTCTCTCAGCCTCGTGGCGTTCCCCTCCCAGGCACAAAGCCACCCTGCAGCACTACTGCCCCTGTGGAATGCCATGGTCCTTTCTAGAGTATCGTTTTTAAGCTCCAGGAGAGGAGAGAGGACTCAGCATCTTAAGATCAGAACCCCCTGAGGAAGGGGGATGGGAAGCGACCCCCGACACAGTCGCAGCAGGAAGCAGGCACCCAGCGGGTCACAGGAGGCGTCCCTGAGCAGAAGGGGGGATCTGCTGCATGGGGCTCCCTAGCCGGCTCCAACTTGCCCATCCCCAGCACCCCGACCTTCCTCAGATTCGCTCGCTGGGAGGGGTACGTTAGGTGTTCCAGGCTGCACCAAGGCCTTGGCCCTGGGTTCGCAGGAGATGCACGTCTTCTGTTCAGCTGTGACCACAGCCCCTGTGTCTCTCCCCTCTGTGCCCTTCGCAGCTGGCTGCTGACCCAGACCCCAACGTGAAAAGCGGATCGGAGCTCCTAGACCGCCTTTTAAAGGTATTTGTACTTTGTTGCCGCTTCTATTTCTAGAATCTGTTTCTCCCATCTGTCTGTACAGCTTAGAAATTCTAACATTGGGGATGCTCTTCCAAATTTTTTTTTTAGTATTTTAATTTACATACAATAAAATTTACTCTTCCGGGTGCAGTTCTATGACACGTATACAGAACTGTGTCACCACTACAATAGAAATACAGAACAGTGCCATCACCCTAAACATCCCCTTGTGTTATTGCCACCCGAGGACGGGGTTGGGCTGGGTGATCCATCCAGACTACAGAGAGGAGGGTTTTGCCATTGGATTGGTTCTCTTCACTTTGAGTCCTGCTCTCCGTCCTCCAGTTTTGCTTGTCCTCTGGCCTATGCCAAGATGGATACTCCAGGGGCCTCTCCTGCCTGGCCCGGGCTCTGCCATTTTCCTCTGTGGTCACCTGACCTCTGGAGCCAGCCCTGGTCTCTGGCTCTTGGCAGCTCACACTCCTTTGGCCCACAGGACATCGTGACTGAGAGCAACAAGTTTGACCTGGTGGGCTTCATTCCCCTGTTGCGGGAGAGGATTTACTCCAACAACCAGTATGCCCGACAGTTCATCATCTCCTGGGTAAGGTCTGGCCCTGACACTGTCTCTCCAGCCTCTAGTTGAATGAGCCTCTGCTTTAGTAAAATCTGCTCTCTGGAACACCCTTGGCAGTTCCTTCAGCCACAGGATGCCTCCTTGTTATCCCTGGAATAGCCATTGGCACCTGGCAATCTGAAGACACTTCATTTAGCTTTGCCCCCAAAGCCCATCATGTTGGTCCTGAAAGGATCCAGTTCACTCCTTGTCCCGGGAAACCCAGATTTGTCTTTGCAGCCAGTAGTGCTGCTTCCAGCAGTCACGCCTTTTCTAACCTTGTCATCCTTCCCCATCCACTCCCTTCTCCTCGGGCATCTGGATGTCCTTAGAGTCAAATTACCATTCCCTGCCTGTTAAATGTGATAGCTGCTCACATCCCCTCCCCCATGGGACAGCTGCAGGCAGGGAAATGCTGCTTCCGCGGGGTCGCCTTCCCACTGCCCAGGCCCAGAGGATCAGGGAGGAGGAGAAAAGTTGCTCAGGCTGGTGTGACTTCCCCTCCTGTGTTCCTCCCTCGGGCAGATCCTGGTTCTGGAGTCCGTGCCGGACATCAACCTGCTGGACTACCTGCCGGAGATCCTGGATGGCCTGTTCCAGATCCTGGGTGACAACGGCAAAGAGATTCGGAAAATGTGAGAGATTCGGAAATGTACTGTGCACGAGTACCCCACAGCACAGACGGGCGTAGCCGAGGGGCAAGAAATGAGCCCTGCTCTTCTTCCTGGCAGGCGTGCTTCCTGCTCCAGGAGCTGAGAGCTCGGCAGCCAGCAGCCCCTGCGAACACTCATCCATCACGTGTCCAAGTGTAGTCGCCCCCGAGCAGAACTGGGTGCCAGTTGGGGCTCCGCGGCCCTGGCTGACATGTGCTGTTTTCCACTCTCCTTTCTCATCGGTAGGTGTGAGGTTGTTCTTGGAGAATTCTTGAAAGAAATCAAGAAGAACCCCTCCAGTGTTAAGTTTGCCGAGATGGCCAACATCCTGGTGATCCACTGCCAGACCACAGGTGAGCGTTGCGAGGCCCCACGGCCACCGCCACCTTGGCTTCAGCGAGGGGCAGGAGACAGTCCTGGGAGGAGTGTTGACCCGTGGGACACTGGGCCCTGGCAGCAGGGTCTCTGTTGACATGGAGGTCCTTTCACCAGGTGTAGCCTGGAGTGTAATAAGATCCAGGGGCCTCCTTGCTGGTGAGCTTGGCCTTAGCTAGCACTGAGAGTTGAAATGCTTGCGGGTTGGAATTATGTATCTATAAGCTTCTGGGGCGTGTCGACCCACCACAGAACATAACTACATAAAACAACAGTCACTTATTACTGGTTATGAGTCTACCCGGTCACCAGGGTGGTTCTGCTCACAGGCCAGGCTTGGCTGCTCAATTGTGCATGTATGGTGAACTGGAGAGTTGGCTGGGCTGAGTGGTCCCAGGTGGCCTCGCTCATGTCTAGCTGTCATCCAGCTGTTAGCTGCGGCAACAGGGGCAGTCGGGCCTGGGTAGGGAGATAAACCCCACTTCTTGATGAGAGGAGACAAGGAGTTGCATTGCAGAGGGGCAGGGATGCAGGGAGGGCTCCTTTCACAGTTTAGCGCAGGATCGTCACTCCATGCCAACCTGTGCCTGAATGTTCCTTTGGAGAGCAAAGCAAGGAGATAAGAGAGCAAGCCAGCCCTGGGCTTGGGGATGGTCGGTGGCAGGGGGCACTCTGGCTGCTTATGCCAGTCCCCCTGGAACCCACCGATTCCCCTTCCAGACGACCTCATCCAGCTGACGGCCATGTGCTGGATGCGGGAGTTCATCCAGCTGGCCGGCCGAGTGATGCTGCCCTATTCTTCTGGGATCCTGACTGCCGTCTTGCCCTGCCTGGCATACGATGACCGCAAGAAAAGTATCCTTTGCTCTGGGAGAGAAGAAACCAGAGCAGCCCCTAAGGGACTGTGAAGCCAAGGGACCCTGGAGTGGGAGGGCCACCTGGAAGGGGACCTATGAGAGGAAGAGGAGCATCTCACAGGGGCCCCAGGATGGCACGGAGAACAGGGACAGGGTTCAGACTCCCTGTCCACCCAGCATAGCCCCTGGGAAGGACTGAGCCCCTGACCAGGGACACCAGGCTTAGAGAAGACCCCCCTGGGTAGGACCACTCCTTACATCAGTGACTCAGGCATCAAAGAGGTGGCCAACGTGTGCAACCAGAGCCTGATGAAGCTGGTCACCCCTGAGGACGATGAGCCGGACGAGCCAAAGCCAGTGCTCCAGAGGCAGACAGAACCCCACCCCGATGACACCCTGGCGAAACCAGAAGGGGCAGGCAGTGGTGAGTAAACTCTGCCCCTGGCCCCTCACCTCCCATGGGAGCCCCAGTCGGAAGTCATAGGACTTGCCTTAGTGCTGCTTTATACATGTTAACTCAAGTAGTGCTGGCAACAGCCCAGCGAGGCGGAAACTGCAGATGGGCACAGAGGAGCTGAGCAGCATGACCAGCATCCGGCAGCAGGTGACGGGTAGAGTTGAGACTTGAACCTATTTAGGTGTCCTCCGGAGGCCGCAGTCTTGACCCTTACTGCCGCAAAGGCCAGTAAGCCTTCGCTTAATCTTGGTCCTGGGTTCAGCTACAGGAAATAGCTGTTCTCAGAGTAGGGAGGTCTGGAGCAGGGAGGGGGTACCAGGATTCTGGATGCACTTGGTTCTTGGCCATGGACATCCAGCCGCCTACAAGCCCACTGCCTTGACCGTGCGTGTGGTTCTCAGGCAGGGAGGGTTAAGAAAGCTCTAGCTTCAGCTTACTCAGTACTTGGGAATTTTAGTGCCCACTTTAGTTCCTTTTAAAAAATGAAGTTGTTCTAGTCTTTCAAACTCCTTTAACATTTCCTTGTTTGTCTATATCATAAAGAAAACTACTTTTATGCTGATTGGTGTCTGGAGTTTGACTCTCAATGTTACCCAATGTTTTCCTATCTCTTGGGCTTCTTTCCTCACCAAGTGGTCACAGATCAGCACTGGGGTGCTATCCATCTTTGCAGAATCAGCCAGAGAGTAAGTTAATGGACACCCTACTCAAATCTGTGAGGATAACAGAGTAAGGTCTGGAACCTGCACCCAGGAGCCAGAAGAATTGCTAAAGCATATTCTCCCGTTGCCATGCCCAGACTTCTCTTGTGAACATCTGAGCAGAATGTCAAGCATGTGTGTCCCGTGGACCTCAGTTCGCTGCTAGAATTGAGCAGCGGTCCACGCTGGACCTGTCTCAGGTGTCAGGTTACAGCTGTGCTGTCACCACTGCAAGCCAGAGCAGCAAAACAGCTGGAGGCAAAGTAGTACTCAGCTGGAGCATTGGTGGTTCAGTGGTAGAATTCTCGCCTGCCACGCGGGAGGCCCGGGTTCGATTCCCGGCCAATGCAGCAGCTGAAAACTTTTTGGCAGCTCCTGAGTGGGGAAAAAAACCTTGGGGAGATAAGTTAGTATAGGCCTTCAAAGAGAGGAGCTTTCTTCCCAGCGGAAACTAGAAGACCAGAAGAAACTAGAAGGAATAGACATACTTATGAACTCTCACTGATAATGAGTATTTTATTTTGGTGGGATTTTTCGATTCTCATTTTAGAAAGTTTGGAAAGTAGAGAAAAATACACAAAAGGAAGACTATGTCCACCAAGAGGCAATCACTATAAAATTTGGCATATTTTTCCAGTTTTTCATATACACATAAATAGTTAAGATCATACAACTTATCCAACTTCACATTTTGCTTTTATTTTCTTTGATGGTGGATTTTTTTATTTTTTTTTCTTTGTTTGTAGCTTGACAAGTACATGTGGAGGTTTTGAGTATTTTATACTGACTTAAAAGTTTACAGTGCCTGTTAATCCATAGAGTCAGAAAGTAGGATAACAGTTGCCTGGGCATGGGGGAAAGGAAGGATTAGGACCAACTGCTGACAAATGCATGGTTTCTTTTGGGGGTCATAGAAATGTTCTAGAATTAAATAGAGGTGATAGGTGCACCACTTTGTGAATGTACTAAACACCACCCAGTTGTACACTTTTATGTTATGTGAAATTTTGTTATATGAATTGTTTCTCAATTAAAAAAAAAAGTTACTGTCTATTCCCCCAAAGTGGATCCCAATGGTTCCTGCCCTCCCTTTCTGCTTATGTGGCAGTAAGTCAAGTCCTTTGGAGAGGAATTGCTTCATTCCGTGGTTCGTGGCAGCAGCTAAAAACCCTATTGCTAGCTGGAGCATTGGTGGTTCAGTGGTAGAATTCTCGCCTGCCACGCGGGAGGCCCGGGTTCGATTCCCGGCCAATGCAGTTCATTTTTTATCCTAAACCAGGATACATTCGGGCAGCTTGGCTCTGGATTTTACTGCCTCTAAACAGCACTTTGGCAGATGAGAAGCTCACTTTATGGCAGTTCCCAGAGATAGCGGCAGCTATTTGGGACCCTTACATCCACTCTCAGGCCCGCTCAGCTTGTAACTAACGAATCACCAGTCTTTTCCCAAGGTGCCCAGGAGAAGGTCCCAGCAAGCCAGGAGACAGGTAATCACCCCAGCCTCTCCCGCTTACTCTTCCCTCTCTGCTCCCGCTGTTCCAACCCTGGTCCAAGCTGAAGACAGGACCTGCCTGCCTGGTCTTGGTGTAGTTGTGCTGACTCGCCCACAGCACCACGTTCTTCACAGCACACTGCAGGCAAGACAGACAGAGAGACACACACACACCCTCCAGAGCTTCTCCCTCCTCCACTGACCACGGACCTCCGGTCAGGGCAGCCATCATCACTTGCTCTGGCCCCCGCCTTGGCCTGCCCCTTGTGGGGGACCCACCACACGTGTCCTTTCCCTGGTTCTGAGTTCTTACACCACTTAACACGTCCAGCGTGGTCCCCTCCGTGACATTCCCTGCTTGTCTCAGGTGTCACAGCAAAGATTTTGAGGTCCCAGCAACCTGCCTGTGAGTCCTGGCTCTGCAAACTTCGTGTCTGTTGCCTATGGACAGCTGTTCGCCCTTTCTAAAGCTTCAGATTCCTTCCTTGTCGAACAGCGTGAGTAATAATATCTAACCCAGGGTATGGTTGTGAGTCTCAAAAAAGATTTTTGCACGTAAAGCACTTAGCACATGGCACGTGGCAAACATTCTCAATAGCAAGTGCTTTGGTGTTGTTTTAATACACGTTTATGATATAAACGTCGACTTAGTAAGGCACTCAGGAAGACTTGTGATAAGAAGGGTGATACGGGACAGCAGGGTTCGTTCCTTCTGGAGCCTCTGAGAGGATCCATTTCCTTGCCCTTTCCAGTTTCTAAAGGCCGCCTGCATTCCTTGGCTGTGGATCCATCACCATTAAAACCTCAAAGTGAGAGGCCAAATAGTGTAGTTTGAGTGTAGACTCTGGGGATCTGAGCTGGACGTGGTGGCTCATGCTTGCAATCCTAGCACTGTGGGAGGCCGAGACGGGAGGATCGCTTGAGGTCAGGGGTTCGAGACCAGCCTCAGCAAGAGCAAGACCCCATCTCCACTAAAAATAGAAAAAAATTAGCCAGGCCTGGTGGCGGGCGCCTGTAGTCCCAGCTACTCGGGAGGCTGAGGCAGGAGGATCGCTTGAGCCCAGGAGTTGGAGGTTGCCGTGAGCAGGGCTGACGCCATGGCACTCTAGTCCAGACAACAGAGCGAGACTCTGTCTCAAAGAAAAAGAAAAAACAGGAATGAGAAAACTCATGACATTCAAATCAGATTTATCATTTAGTTAATGGTATCATATGGATGTTAACTTCCTGGGTTTGATGGTTGTACTGTGGCCATGTACGACGTTAGTGTCTGGAGCAGCTAACATTGGGCGAAGGGTATACAGAGAATTCTTTATCTTTTGCAACTTTTCTGAACATCTAAAATTAATTTCAAGATGAAAGCATTTTTTAATTTAGGAAAACGTATGTAAAATATGGATCAGGCAGTGTAAATGGTGTCAGTCTCATTGTATAGATGAGAAAACTGAGGGCACAAAGGGTGACATGGCATGCCGTGGATCACGGAGTCTGGGTTGTTTCCAGAGAGTACTGCCAGCTCCCTTCCCTCCCTCCATGCCATAGGGGAGTAGCCAGTGGACCGGAGCTCAAGTTGGAATAGGGTCCTGCTGGCAGCCTTGCAGATCCGGAACATCTTGTCTCTTTAGGAAACTTAATTAGATGCCAAAAGAAAAAGGTTGGAATTTTACGATCATTCCTTAAGTGGGAACAATAAATCGCTGATGCCTTTTCTATCCTGGGTCGTGCAGCAGGAAGTTAAACACAAATGACAGGTACTGGGTTGGCCACATGGAGGCCGACCGGGGCCGAGTGCGGGGTCACAGTCCTTTCCCCAAAGTCATTTTCTAAGCCCTGTGTTGAAATACAATTCACACACCCTACAATTCACCCAACCCAAAGTGTACAATTCAATGACTTTAGTATATTCACAGAGTTGTGTAACCATCACCAAAATCAAGTTCAGAGTGTGTTTGGTTCCCTGAAGAGAACCCCTTGGCCATCATCCCCCTTCCCCCATCTCCTCCAGCCCTCAGCAATCTCTAACCTACTTTCTGTCTCCATAAATTTGCCCATGCTGAATGTTGCCTGTAAATGGAATTATATGTGGTCTTCCGCGATTGGTTTGTTTCACTTAGCACAATGTTTTTTAAAGCTTACCCGTGTTGCATGATGTATCAGAACTTCACTCCTGTTTATCGCCGCATACTAGTCCATTGTTTTGCTGCAGCACGTTTCATTTTTCCATTCATCAGCTGGTGGACATGTGAGTTGTTTCCACTTTTCAGCTGTTGGAGATGATGCTGGTGTGAGCACGATGTCCAAGTTTTGTGTGGACATAGGTTTTCATTTCTCTTGGGTGTATACCTTACGAATGCAATTGCTGGGTCATACAGGACTCTGTGTTTAGCCTTTTGAGAAACTGCCAGACTGTTTTCCAGAGTGACTGCACCATTCCTACCAGCAGTGTGTGAGGGTTTCAGTTTCTCCGCATCCTCGCCAACACTTGTTATTATCAGTCTCCTTTGTTTTAGCCATCCTAGTGGGTGTGAAGTAGTGTCTCACTGTAGTTTGGATTTGCATTTTCCTGCTAGCTAAGGATGATGGGTATCCCAGTCATTGTGAACGTGTATTGCCCGCAGGCCGGTAATTCCGTCTGAGATTTCCCAGGTGTGTTCAGCACCGGTGTCCCCTCCTTGCGAGATCACTGTGCCTAAACACTTACAGGCGTGGGGACTGTTCGAGGGGTTCGGGGCATGAGTCAGCATTGGGTCCTCAGGGGTCTAGAGCCACGTTCCTTTTCAAGAGCCTGAATCAGGGTGTGCGGCACTGGAGGTCTCACGTGTGCTTGTAACAGGGATCTTGTTTATTCTAAAAACCCAACAGCCTTTCGTGACACCATGTTCCTCTTCCTCTGCCAGGAGGTCCAGATGGTTCTTGTGACTCCAGCTTCAGTAGCGGCATCAGTGTCTTCACGCCGGCCAGGTAAGTGGTTTGTTCCAGCCAGAAGTCTTTGTGGAAAGTACATAGCCGAGATCTTTCCTGGGTACAGGAGACCCAAGACAGACTTCGTATCAAAGACCCAAGGCAGACTTTGCTTGGGGCCACTATGTTTGGTGTGCCCTCATACACAGGGGAGTTGCTTGTTGAGGTATCTGAAGGGCACTGGGCGAGCCCACCCACCCACCCACCCTCATGGGCAGGCAGCCTTTGGGGAGGGATTAGAAACAAGGCCGGGC